TTTAACTGATGGAAAAAAGGGGCCTCGTTCCTTATCTAGGGTTCCTTAGGTCAACGCCCCGACTGTAGGGGATTCCCCAAGGGGGCGGCGCGAGGGCGCGAGGAAGGCCGCGCGCCGCGCGAGGCGCGAGGCGCGAGGGCGCGAGGGCGGGCGATCGCGCCCTCCCCCGAGGGGGCGGCGCCGGAGCGCGAGGGCGCGGCCGCGGGGCCGAGGGGATCCCGGCGCTCCGCCCGCCGCTCTCGAGGCGCCGCCCCTGGCTCCGAGTCGGGTCTGTCCTCTCTACAGTCGGGGGCGGAAGAGAGGGGGGTGATGACTAGGGGGGGGGGGATATCATGGCGTATTTGAGCATTTGAGTATGTTTTGAGTATTCGAGTATGTATTTTTCATTCCTCGTCGAAAATCCCCTCTGCAGGGGGGGCCGCGAGGCACGAGGTGCGAAGAGCCGGGCGGTTCCTGTGCGGGGTCCTCTGATGAGAGGGCGGATGGGCGCGGTCGCCGCTCCCGCGCCCCCACGCCCATCGGGGGCGGAAGAGAGGGGGGTGATGATTAGGGGGGGGGTGGATATCATGGCGTGGGCCATGATCTTTCCCCAGATCTCCTGGCGCCTCTGCTTATGTCATTACGTCCCTGGCCCCCCCGCTGGGCCGTGCACATGCCGCCGGTCATGATCTGCACCCCCCCCTCTTGGACACCCCCCTCTTGGCCGCTCCCGATTTCTACAGGAGGAGCAGTCAGGAATAGTGCAGAGGCAGTCCGGGGGCGATCTTTTTTTGGGGGGGGGGAATATGTTGGGCAATTTTTCGGAGGTTGATGGAGCTCCTGTCCAGACGCGTGGATGAGCGAATTGGCCATCTTCGGTTCGCGAGAGGGCGTCGCGGCCGTCATTTTTGCGGGTCCAGGTCCGTCGGTTTCGGTCCCAGGTCGCTTTCACTATGGGGAGGTTTACTAATGGGAGGTTTGCCCACCGCCGATTTGAGTCGGGTCTGTCCCTCCACAGAAGCAACATGCACACGCAGTACAAAAATAGTCTGGGGACGGTTTTTTGAATCTTGTTTTTGACGACTTTGGAGCCTTTCTGGGGTATTCTTCATTTTTCCTTCAGAATCCCATGCAGGGGGACATGCCCGACTTGACCCTTGCTGCTGCCTCTAGGGGGCCACATGCGAACCCTACCCCTACCCCCCACGATTTCTGAGGGGGAGGGGGAGGTTCACTTTGCTCGGGAGCTCCCGAGCGGAGTGAACCCCACCCTCCCCCTCAGAAATCCTGGGGGGGAAGGGTACGGTAGGTCCTTGTCGTGTCGACCAGCGGCGACCCCAGCGCGGGCGTTCAAGGTTGAACGCCGCCGGCGACCCAGAATCGATCGATGTTGAACGATTGGACGTTGCGGCAGCGGCCGATCGTTCAAGGTTGAACGATCCCTGCGGTGTCAAAAACCAACGCTGGGGTCGGCACGACACGAACCTGCCGTAGGGTTCGCATGTGGCCCCCTATGCCTCCCCGCGAGCACCGCGGAGGCCTTCCAGACCCAGAGGGGCGGGGGCCGTGGCCGGAGCGCCGCGACCTGGAGCCGCTGGGGCCTGCGGCTGCGGAGGGGGCCGCGGGAGCTCGTGTGAAGTCGGGCCCGCCCCTCTACAGGAGGAGTAGTCAAAAATAGTCAGAACTAGTCAAAGGGGGCGACTTTTCGACTGTTTTTGATTATCTTTAGAGTATTTTCTTACAGTTCTTTATTTTTCGCCCAAGCTCGTTTCCCTATTAACAGTCAGAATTTGGCTCCCTCCTTCGCAAGGTCGTCACATCTTGCAGAGAGGCAGTGAAGACTGGTACTCCAGATTTCGTAATAAAAGGGAGGGGGTCTGGACCCTCCAAGACAAGCCATTTCAGACCCCCCCGCCCGTGGGAGAACCCTCCAAAACATCGTCCCCAGGCCCCCCCAGGCCCTCCAAGATAGCTTGGAAGAGACCCCCCCCGAAATGAGACCCCCCTCCCTTTATTACGAAATCTGGAGTAGTCAAAAATAGTCTGGGGACGGCTGTTCGACTATTGTTGATTATCTGTAGAGTATTTGTTTGCAGTTCTTTTTTTTCGCCCAAGATCCACCTGTAAGGGTGACATGCCCGACTTAAAGCTCGTGAGGGGAGCTCGGCCTGCATCCGTGGAGATCCGAAGCTGGCTCCGAGGGGTTTGACTCGGAAACTGGAGCATATACGCATATACACTGCCAGTGGCGGGCGGCTTTTCAATCCCAGGACTTTTTTGAGGGTCGGGGGCGACGTCGGGGTGGTGTGGTGGATACTTTTTCCCCCGTGTTCCTGGGGACGCAATGAAAAATGTATACACCAGGATCCCATATACACTAGGTTCCCCGTTTCCTGTGCGAATTTCAGCGCAGGGTCGGAAAAAGCGTCGGTGTGTAGAGCTCGTTTCCCTATTAACAGTCAGAATTTGGCTCCCTCCTTCGCAAGGTCGTCACATCTTGCAGAGAGGCAGTGAAGACTGGTACTCCAGATTTCGTAATAAAAGGGAGGGGGTCTGGACCCTCCAAGACAAGCCATTTCAGACCCCCCCGCCCGTGGGAGAACCCTCCAAAAAATCGTCCCCAGACCCCCCCAGGCCATCCAAGATAGCTTGGAAGAGACCCCCTCCGAAATGAGACCCCCTCCCTTAATTACGAAATCTGGAGTACTCAGTGCTGGAGGCCTCCTGGGCCATCCATGGTTTCCTGAAGACAGTCGATGGACCAGAGACCAGAGAGGTGTTAGGCGATATTGGCATGCAATGCGGGGCAAGCTTGAGTTTTGGCAAAGGTGCACTAAGTGAGCCACAAGGCAGGACCCAAACTTGAAGCTTGCTCCTGAACCGTGCCATCCTGGGAGACAGGGAGCCCCTAGGTTCTTTTTGGGCACTTTGGATGTCATCTAAGGCCTCTGTGGATGCTCTAACCGTTCGCGACCGCCCCCTGAGAGGTAAGCTTCCGGGGCGGTAGACATAGCTCCCCAAACCACCTACGAACGCAGAACTGACCTTTGCAGTTGAATGAAACCGAGGGAAGCCGCAAGCAAGCCCGAGGCAAAGCAACAACCGATGCTTACGCGCATCGGCGTGAGGGCTTTTCCGCGGATGCGAACCCGTTCCAAGTCGCACGCGGGTTGGCCGGTTTACGGGGGAGCAGGGGGGCCAGGCGGAGCCCAGCCAGGGGCATACGCGGCCTCGACGCGGGGCGTTCAGTGGGGATGGGGAGGGGGGCGACTGGGGCCCATCGGGAGACTCTTCATGGGGGGGGATCCCATGGGGGGATAGGATCCCAGGGGGGGGATCCCATAGGATCCCCTGGGGATCCCATGGGGGGAAGGAGGGGATCCCATGGGGGGGATCCCCTCCTGCCCCCCCATGGGGATCCCCCCCCATGGAGAGTCTCCCGGGCCCAGTGGGGGGGGATGGGGCCCTGCGGCGTCTTTGGGGTCCGGGGAAGCCCTGGGGCCCGGGGCTCGTCGCCGCCCCGGCGCCCATCGGAGGCTCGGGTCGGGCGAAAGGGGGGGATTGGGAAAGGGGGGGTTACGAAATTTGCTGCATGCAGCTGGTTTCGGCCTCACCGAGGGGCCCATTCCTCGATACATGGCGCCTCTGGCGCCGGGAGGCGCCGGGAAAATCAGCTACGCGAGCTGATTCTCAAACCCCCCCTTTGCTATCCCCCCTTTTCGCCCGACCCGAGAGGCCCCAGGTCGGGGTGCGCAGCAGCTCATAGCGCAGATCTGCTTCGGTTTGTCCTGGTGCGGTGTTGCAAAATACTGTGCCCTGGTGCATGCAGGGGGTCCTCACTCCTATCTGCGCCTGTGTGGGTCATGGCACATGCGCTTGCGTGCGTGTGGCAGCAGAGCAAGTTGTAGCAGCGTGTTTGGTCCGAGTAGCTCAAATGGGCTTATAGGACAACCAGGGCCCCTTGAGTTGGAACCTGTAGGCCACCAGCTTAACCTTCACACGCGCGGGCAACTCAGGCCAGGACCGTATGGGCTGCACCTTGGAGACCGCCTCCGTAATCCCAACAAGCTGGAGCAACTAAGGCTGCGAACGTAGGGGCGATATCCGTGACCCACCAACAGAAAGCCATCATTCATGGGAAAGGCAGGCCGATGCTCTCTCTGGGTGGGGCCGTATCGGCCACCACCAGAAACCTACCCACACATCCAACCAAGGCCTGGTCCATCTGGGTCGGACTCGATGGGCCCACCATGCATGGTAATATAGTCAGGGTCCTGTGGTCGGGACCTTATGAGCCATCAGCGGAAAGCCACACCACAGAAACAGCCAAGGCCAGGAGTGAACGAACCCTGCGGTCCGCGCCCAAAAACTCGCACCACATCATCAATTCAGGCCAGGACTCTTTCTTGCGAGGGGCCCAAAGTTCCACCATCCGACAGCCACCAGGTATGGCCAACTGAGCCGGGACGCTAATGGGGGGGGGGCATGTGCACCGCTGGAAAGCCATCACGCAGGGGCATTGAAGGCCGAGCCAGGATGGGCCGAACCCTGGGGGCCACCACGGGGAAGCCACCGCGCAAGAGCCAGGGTGGCCGGGAGGCTCGGGGCGGGGCCCGTCCCGTGGGCCACCGCTGGGAAGCCGTGACGGAGGGATATGTCTTGTGCACAAGACGACCACGAAGCCCATCGTGCAATCGGCATTTGGTCATCGGCGATGGACAGGTCCTTTTGAGTCGTTTCGAAGGCAGGCTGAAGGCAAGCGGACCTCGTACCTAAAGGGGTAGTTGCGAACTGGACTAGGGCGTGGGCACATGGTATATCACATACGAGCCGATTTGGGCAGCATTTAGATACATGGAAGAAATCGAGGAGACAAATTGCTGGCAAGTTCGAAGCAGCTGGAGTTGACGCAGTTTGAACGAAATCTTGGGCCAGGCTGAATACAAGCAGCTCATGGCGAGCTGAAGCCAAGCTGAATTTGATAAGATCAAGGCAAGCCACGCTTGGCAAGTGAAAATAGTCGCTGCTAGAAGCAAGCGAGCAGCTGGTGAACGCACACTAAGGGCAATTACAACCAGCCAGTAGAAAAAGGCACGCCAAGTCGACGTTCAAGCAAGCAATCTAGAACAAGCGCCACAGCCAAGCGGAACTCATTCAACAAGCTGTGCAGACGCAAGACGAACGAACTCCATGTGGCTTCCAAGGCGCGCATTTTCAAGGCACTCCATTGGGGTGCGCCCTCAAGAATTCTGGCCTTGGGCAAACATCGCCGCGGTTGGACACAAGAGCTGTTCGTCAGCGTTGGTGCTGTTTTCATACACATGTTTATATATATATATATATATATATATATATATATATATATATATATGTGAGTTGGGCCCCTGGGCGGTGCCTGTCATCTCCATGGGGGGTGCAGGGCGCCCCCGGGAGCGTCCGAAGCGTCCCGGAGAGCCCCTGGGACCGCCAGGAACAGTTCGAGACCGCCCAAGACGGCCCGCGAGCGCTCCAAGACGCGCATAGATAGCCTCAGGAATGGCCTGGAAGGCCCGAAGACGTTCCAAGAGAGCTCCATGAGGCCCCGAAGGCATCCCAAGAGGCCTCCCAAGAGAGCCCCGACAAGCCAAAATCGTTGATTTGTATTGTTTTTTTCTAGGTTTTTGGCTTTCTCGCTTTTTCGGGGTTCCGACGCTCCAAGACCGTCCAAAAGTCTCCCAAAACCGCTCCAAGACGGCCGAAGAAGCCCCCAAGACCGCCCCAAGACGGCCCAAGAGACCCCCCAAATCGTCCCAAGACGGCCCAGGAGAGCCCCAAGATGGCCCAGGAGCCGCCCAAGACGGTTCCAGGAGAGCCCCGACAGGGCTTCAAGACTGCCTAAACGAGCCCAGCGGTCCCCAAGAGGGCTCCGCCAGGCCCCAAGAGGCCCCGAAGAGGCCCCCAAGAGCCTCCCCAGAGGCCCCCAGGGGCCCAACAATTGCCCTGAGCGCGCCCCAAGACGCCTCCAGGAGAGCCCAACAGGCCTCCGAGAGGCCCCCAAGAGGCCCACTGGAGGCCCTCAGGAAGTCGTCCCCATCATGTTCCCGGAAGGCGGTCGGGAACATGATTCCGCTCCTTGGAGGAGTTTTCTGCGCTTTCCGAGGCGCCTTCCGAGGCGCCTTGGACGACGTACGTATGTTTCTATCGATTGTCCTTCTCCTGTGTACACAATCCTACATGTCTTGCGTATGCTTCTATATATATATATATATATATATATCCCAGTGCGACCCTACCTAGGAGTTGGAACCCCTAAGAAAGCAGCATTAGTAGTAACAGTAACGCTAAGCTAAAGCTAAGCCACAGCTAAGCTAAAGCTACAGCTAAGCTAGAGCTAAGTTAAAGCTAAACTAAAGCTAAGCTAAAACTAAGCTAAAGCTAAGCTAAAGCTAAGCTAAAGCTGAGCAACAGCTAAGCTAAATCTAAGATAATGCTAAGCCACAGCTAAGCTAAAGCTAGGCTAAAGCTAAACTAAAGCTAAGCTAAAGCTGAGCAACAGCTAAGCTAAAGCTAAAGCTACAGCTAAGCTAACAATAAGCTACAGCTAAGCTAAAGCTAAGCTAAATCTAAGCTAAAGCTAAGCTAAAGCTAAGCTACAGCTAAGCTCAAGCTAAGCTAAAGCTATGCTAAACGCTAAGCGAAAAGCTGAGCGAAACGCTAAGCTAAAGCTAAGCTACAGCTAAGCTAAAGCCAAGCTAAAGCTAAAGCTCCCAGGGGACTGGGGGGAACCGCGGGGCGGGGACCGGGGGAACCGCCCGGGGCGTGAAGCACTGCCCGGCCCCTTTAAGCTAAGAGAGTAAGAACCCTTCTAGGCAGAGCCTAGGTAGGGAAAAAAGAGGCCCACTGGAGGCCCTGAGGAGGTCGTCCCCATCATGTTCCCGGAAGGCGGTCCGGGAACATGATTCCGCGCCTTGGAGGAGTATTCTGTGCTTTCCGAAGCGCCTTCCGAGGCGCCTTGAATGACGTACGTATGTTTCTATATATTGTCCTTCTCTTGTGTACACAATCCTACATGTCTTACGTATGGGCCTCTCTATATATATACACATACGTACACACATCTATATGTACACATATATATACACATATGTATACATATATGTATATATATACATATATATACATATATATACCCCTCCCCCAAGCCCTCCCGAGTCGTGCCACTTCCTTCCACGCATTTCAAATTATTCCCCATATATAGAGGCCCCCAAGATGCCCAACAATGGCCCTGAGCGCGCCCCAAGACGCCTCCAGGAGAGCCCCACAGGCCTCCGAGAGGCCCCCAAGAGGCCCACTGGAGGCCCTCAGAAGGTCGTCCCCATCATGTTCCCGGAAGGCGGTCCGGGAACATGATTCCGCGCCTGGGAGGAGTATTCTGCGGTTTTCCGAGGCGCCTTCCGAGGCGCCTTGGACAACGTATTTATGTTTATATAGATTGTCCTTATCCTGTGTACACAGTCCAACATGTCTTACGTATGGGTCTATACGTATATATATATATATATATACACACATATATATACATATATATATATATATATATATACATATGTATAATGTATATCTATATATATACAGGCCTCCAAGAGGCCCCCAAGAGGCCCATTGGAGGCCCTCAGAAGGTCGTCCCCGTCATGTTCCCGGAAGGCGGTCCGGGAACATGATTCCGCGCCTTGGAGGAGTATTCTGCGCTTTCCGAGGCGCCTTCCGAGGCGCCTTGGACGACGTACTACGTTTCTATAGATTGTCTTTCTCCTGTGTACACAATCCTACATGTCTTACGTATGGGCTTGTCTATACATATATATATAAATGCATGTGTATATATAACATCTATATATGACAATACGCACACACACATATAGATAATATATATATATATATAAATATACCCATATATAAATACATATATATATATATATGTATGATACATATATATACACCCCTCCCCCAAGCCCTCCCGAGTCGTGCCACTTCCTTCCACGTATTTCAAATTCTTCCCCATATATAGAGGACCCCAAGATGCCCAACAATGGCCCTGAGCGCGCCCCAAGACGCCTCCAGGAGAGCCCCACAGGCCTCCGAGAGGCCCCCAAGAGGCCCACGGGAGGCCCTCAGAAGGTTGTCCCCATCATGTTCCCGGAAGGCGGTCATCTCCATGGGGGGTGCAGGGCGCCCCCGGGAGCGTCCGAAGCGTCCCGGAGGGCCCCTGGGACCGCCAGGAACAGTTCGAGACCGCCCAAGACGGCCCGCGAGCGCTCCAAGACGCGCATAGATAGCTCAGGAATGGCCTGGAAGGCCCGAAGACGTTCCAAGAGAGCTCCATGAGGCCCCGAAGGCATCCCAAGAGGCCTCCCAAGAGAGCCCCGACAAGCCAAAATCGTTGATTTGTATTTGTTTTTCGAGGTTTTTGGCTTTCTCGCTTTTTCGGGGTTCCGACGCTCCAAGACCGTCCAAAAGTCTCCCAAAACCGCTCCAAGACGGCCGAAGAAGCCCCCAAGACCGCCCCAAGACGGCCCAAGAGACCCCCCAAATCGTCCCAAGACGGCCCAGGAGAGCCCCAAGATGGCCCAGGAGCCGCCCAAGACGGTTCCAGGAGAGCCCCGACAGGGCTTCAAGACTGCCTAAGCGAGCCCAGCGGTCCCCAAGAGGGCCCCGCGAGGCCCCAAGAGGCCCCAAAGAGGCCCCCAAGAGCCTCCCCGGAAGGCCCCCAGAGGCCCCCAAGAGGCCCCAAAATTGCCCTGAGCGCGCCCCAAGACGCCTCCAGGAGAGCCCAACAGGCCTCCGAGAGGCCCCCAAGAGGCCCACTGGAGGCCCTCAGGAGGTCGTCCCCATCATGTTCCCGGAAGGCGGTCCGGGAACATGATTCCGCGCCTTTGGAGGAGTATTCTGCGCTTTCCGAGGCGCCTTCCGAGGCGCCTTGGACGACGTACGTATGTTTCTATAGATTGTCCTTCTCCTGTGTACACAATCCTACATGTCTTACGTATGTTTTATATATATATATATATATATAATGGACCCACTGGAGGCCCTCAGGAGGTCGTCCCCGTCATGTTCCCGGAAGGCGGTCCGGGAACATGATTCCGCGCCTTGGAGGAGTATTCTGCGCTTTCCGAGGCGCCTTCCGAGGCGCCTTGGACGCCGTACTACGTTTCTATAGATTGTCCTTCTCCTGTGTACACAATCCTACATGTCTTACGCATGGGTCTCTCTCTCTCTATATATATATGTATATATACGCACACACATATACATATACATATACATATGCATATATACATATATGCATATATATATATACCCCTCCCCCAAGCCCTCCCGAGTCGTGCCACTTCCTTCCACGTATTTCAAATTCTTCCCCATATCTAGAGGCCCCCAAGATGCCCAACAATGGCCCTGAGCGCGCCCCAAGACGCCTCCAGGAGAGCCCAACAGGCCTCCGAGAGGCCCCCAAGAGGCCCACTGGAGGCCCTCAGAAGGTCGTCCCCATCATGTTTCCGGAAGGCCGTCCGGGAACATGATTCCGCGCCTGGGAGGAGTATTCTGCGGTGTCCGAGGCGCCTTCCGAGGCGCCTTGGACAACGTACGTATGTTTCTATAGCTTGTCCTTCTCCTGTGTACACAGTCCTACATGTCTTACGTATGGGTCTATATATATATATATATATATACATATCTGTATATATATATATATATATACAGGCCTCCGAGAGGCCCCCAAGAGGCCCACTGGAGGCCCTCAGAAGGTCGTCCCCGTCATGTTGCCGGAAGGCGGTCCGGGAACATGATTCCGCGCCTTGGAGGAGTATTCTGCGCCTTCCGAGGCGCCTTCCGAGGCGCCTTGGACGACGTACGTATGTTTCTATAGATTGTCCATCTCCTGTGTACACAATCCTACATGTCTTACGTATGTTTCTATATATATGTATACGAATATGTATATATGTATGTGTGTGTATATATATATATATATATATACCTCCCCCGAGCCCTGCCGAGTCGTGCCACTTCCTCCCACGTATTTCAATTTCTTCCCTATATATACACATATA